ACAGAATTATTGTAAAAAGAGTCGTGTCAATGAAAATCCTGGGAGTGATATTTGATGAACATCTTAATTGGAAAAGTCATATTACGCTCGTTGAAAACAAAATTTCTAAAACAATAGGCATTATGTATAAAACAAAACACCTACTAAGTAAAAAATACTTAAAAGATATATACTACTCTTTTATTCATAGTTGCATTAGGTACTGTAACATTGCTTGGGCCTGTACTTGTTCATAAGCTTTAAAGAAAATATATATAAAACAAAAACAAGCCAGTAGAGTTATATGTAATATGCATAAATGTACCCACGCCAAACCCAGGGCCGGATTTAGGGAGGGGTGTGGGGGGTGTAGCACCCTCCTACTTCAAGTTTTAGTCGGCAAATTTGATATTTTTCATGACAAAGGTCCTCGTTTTCCACATTTTGGAAAACGAGGACCTTTTTTTTTTTTTTTAGTCGGCAAAAATTGTAATGGCACCCCCCCCCCCCACGTGACACCTACTCGCGCCGGCCCTGGCCAAACCGTTACTCCGTGAAATCAAAGCTTTAAACGTCTATGAGTTAAATTTGTACCAAAACCTATTATTTATGTTTAAATATGAAAACGACATGCTTCCTAAATTCTTTAACAATCATTTTTCATTATTTCTCATAAATACTTAACGAGGTGCTCTATTCACAATTTTAACTTACCTAAGTCAACATTAAAAAAAACAAACTCAATTTTATATAGAGGACCTCGTCTATGGAACAGAATTCTTGACGACAAAATGAAAAGTATAACCTTAATACAATCTTTTAAAAATGTAGTTAAACAGAATTTGCTTGACTTAACAGATACAAACATACTTTTATATTTTTATTTTAAAATTTTTTTTTTTTTACGTTACTTATTTGTTTTTCTTGCTGTTTTTTTTTTTTTTTTGCTTTTTACTTTACTTTTGAAGTATTTTTATCTTATTACAATAAAGTTTATATTTATTTGCTTTATATAATGAGTATTTGTATATAATGAGATAATGACACAAAAAAAATGTAAATAATTATTATATATATTTTATTTCTATATTTTACTTTAGAAGTCTTATTATAGTATAGCTATTTTTAACATGCTATATAAAATGATTATTTATTTTTTTGTTGAAAAAACTTGTAAAGCTAATCTTTTAAATTTCTTTACTTAATTTATCTTAATTAATTATTTAGTGAATATAAATTATTATATTTTATATATTATGGATACTCTGTAAAAAAAATATATCACGCAAATTGTAGGGGCTTGACGACAAGACTTATGTCTTCTACTTGCTCCTGTCATTCTTTTTATTTTGATTTATTTTATTAAACTTGAAAACGAGAACATTGTAAAATGCTTATATATGACGAAATAAATAAATAAATAAATATTGCATTAACAGCATCAAATTAGCACCAATAATTTAATGACTAAGATATTAATGATCTATTTTTATTTAAAAACATTAACTCAATTATAACACTTACGTTTATTAACAACATTTAGTTTTATGTCTGCATAAACAGATTAAATAACTATCTTGACTTTTAAATAAGTAAAAAAAAATTAGAAAAAAAAGAAAGACTAAACATTTATTAAATTTTTAACATCTTATTTATTTTTTAATTAAAGTAGTTTATTATACTACTTGTATAATAAATTATTTTGAAATATTGAAAATAAATAAGATGTTAAAAGTAAATCATTTATTTTTATCTCATTACTTTCCACACATTCATTTATTTTTATCTCATTACTTTCCACACATTAGGTTTGTACTCAACATTGAATTAAATGAGGTCGATTAATTTAATTCCAGGATAAAAGGTTTTTTTTCATACCAAATAAATGGCTTTGGTTCTTGTAACAGTAACAGTATATTGAAACTTTAACATTCTTCTGCAGCAGACTCTACCGCTAAAGCTAAAAAATATAATTATTAAATTATTGTAAATATAACAAATAATTTTTATATCACATGAACATTAGTAACAGTAATCAATATTTTCAGCAAATAATTGCTGAAAAAATAAACAGTTTTTTTTATTATTGCCGGCCCAAATTTGGCACCGAAAATTCCTCTGAATTCAACTCCATTTGAGTCTAATTTAAAAAATTACGATAAAGTTATGGATGAACCTAATCTTAAATTAATTGATTTGCATTTTAAAATCTTAAAACTAACAAAAGTGCGGGATTTAATAAAATTAACGTTAACGTTGTAAAATTTGTTTATGATTTAATCGAACCTCTTTTGTTTCACATCTTTAAATTTTCTTTTAAAACAGGTATTGTCCCGGAAAAATTAAAAGTTGCACGAATCATGGTTTTTAAGAATGGTGATGACTCTATTATTTCTAATTATAGACCTATATCTATATTACCGTGTTTCTCAAATTTGCTTGAAAGAATAATGTACAACAGGCTATTTAATTAGTTATTAGAAAACGATATGTTGCAGTGGTTGAAATAGTTAATCAAATAACAAATGCATTATGTACTAACTACTTTAAATTAGGAGTTTTCACTGATCTGTCAAAAGTTTTTGATACTTTAAACTAAAACATACTAATAAAAAAGCTTGAAAATTATGGAGTAAAACATAATAACTTACTTTGGTTCAAAAGCTATTTTAAACCAAATAGAAAGCAATTCATTTAATATGAGAAAAAACAAACAATTTCATATGCTGTAATTTTCGGTGTCCCCCAGGGCACTATTTTAGGACTCTTATTATTCCTAGTATATATAAAAAAGACTCTTATTATATATAAATGGTTTAAATTAAGCAACAAACTTTTTAGTTTTTTTTTGCAGACGACTCCAATCTTTTTTATTCCCATAGAGATATTAAAACACTTTTTGAAACAGCTAACAAAGAGTTGGGTAAGGTTAATGAATGGTTTATAATAAACTGACTCTGAATTTGGATAAAACCATTTCATAAAGTAAATAAATTAGAAAATGCTCCCATTAAACTACCAAATCTAATAATCAAACATTAAAAGAGAAACTTCAGTTAACTTTTTAGGCCTAATATTAGATGAACGTTGGAGTTATCATATAAAAAGCATTGAGAAAAAATATTAAAGAATATAGTTATGATATACAGGGCTAAACCATTTCTATATAACAATTCTTTAAAAAGTTTATATTTTTCTTTCATTCATTGTCATTTGATTTATTGTAATATAGCATGTACAAATCATACAAAAATAAACAAATTGTAGAGTACACAAAAACATGCGTGCAGAATATTATTTGGAGCTGATAAAAGTGTACCATGCACCATGTACACGAGCCTCTTCTGCGTATATTAGGCGCATTAAAAGTTTATAAAATCAACTTACACCAAGTTTCATGTCTAAAATAAAGATGGGACAATCTCCTAAAATGTTTTAGTCCTATTTTAAAAAAAACATTCATATTCAGTCCTATTTTAAAAAACACATAAATACCCGACAAAGTGCATAAATACCCGACAAAGTGCATAAATACCCGACAAAATTTTCAGATAATAACTACTTTGTCCCTAAATATAATTCAAAACAAATTACATATTCATTTCAATATCGTGGACCTTATTTGCAGAAAAAGTTTCCTAATATTGCAAATTCGAAAAAAGTTAGTATGCAACAGTTTAAAAATGAATCGAAACAGGTGTCATCACTCATGGATTTCAACATATCCTATTTAAAATGCTTCTATAAATGTCTCAGAATTTTTCAACTTTTTTTCTTCATTAATTCAATTATGATGTTTCCTCTAATCATGAAAGTTATTATTGAAATCTAATCTGAGTTCTTGAATATTTTTCTTTTTTTTTTTAACTATCAATGAATTGTTATTTATTTTACTTTTATACAAATTGGTTTTAAAATATATACATAAATATTACGGTTTTTGTAAATTAAGTACTCTTATTTTTAATTTTTCGTTCTTTATTTAAATATTACTTTACTACAAATTGTTATATATTTATTTTTATATTTTTTAATAAATACTTTGTATAATATATATATATATATATATTATACAAAGTATTTATTGAAAAATATAAATGTAAAAATAAATAACAATTAGTTTACGAAATACTTCAAGAACAATATTCATGTTAAGAGTAATAGTCAAGTAAACAAGAAAAATAGAAAGAAAAGTAAAAAAGAAAAACAAAAATAAATAAATTTGTTAAAGAGCACGTATTTACAATGTCACACTATATACGTATACGTATACGTATATAGTGTGGCTCTTGTATACGTATACATATATACGTATACGTATACGTATATAGTGTGGCTCTTGTAAATGCGTGTTTTTTAACTAATTTATTTATTTTTGTTTTTATTTTTTATTTTTCTTTCGATTTTTCTTGTTTACTTGACTATTACTCTTAACATGAATATTGTTCTTGAAGTATTTCGTAAACTAATTGTTATTTATTTTTACATTTATAATTTTCAATAAATAATTTGATAAGTATAAATGTTTTATACGGTTATTGTAAATACGTACGATTGGAGCTCGGTGTTTATACAAAATAATGTCTTCTACTTGCCCCGGCAGTGTTTTTATTTATAAACTTTTAATTGTAAAAGTTTTTAAACGGCGAAAATAAAACTTATGTGATACTTCAACAAAAAGTGAATTATTGTGTAATAGAAATTTAACGCATTTTTTATATATCTTTTTCAGCAAAGCAAATTTAGTTAAAATGTGATGCATTTATCAACAATGCATTATGTTGACCGGTTTAATTGTTCCATAATGGATAGCCCATAAATTACGCAACGCTAAACTTAATTAACAAAAAAGATCACATTTTTTTTTTAGATTCTTTAATCAAGCTAAAAATTAAAATAGCCTTCAACTTTAATGAAACTCGCCGCGCAAAAGAGCAAATAATATCCTAATTCTATTTTTTAAATGGATAAAGCGTTGTGTAATTTGTGGAAAATCCCTGAATGGTTCAAAACAAGACTTATAAATTTACTAACATTTTATGGTGTTCATGATAAAATAACTAAAATGTCTTTAATAAAATTTAACTGGCTAGCTTGATTGTTGTTAACGCAGCATCAATGAGAGTTAACTAAGTATTAATTTCTGGCGGATTTAAAGAAGATTTTTGAGCAAATGCTGCGGCAGTTTTCTGAAAATTATCTTTTATAGCTGCTGTATAGGGATGATTTTCAAAAACTTGTATGGTTTGCAAAGCTTGCTGATGATATTTTATTGCTTGATTGTACTCCTCTATATCAGCATAAACTAATCCAAGATCGTTTAATGACAAAGCAACACTAGGATGGGGTTGATCATGGTAGATAAGTTTTTTCATTTCCAGGCTTTGCTCATAGTAATTAATTGCTTTATTATATTGTGTTTTAGCAGCATAATTTAATCCAAGATTATTTAAGATATCAGCAATACTAGGATGAGGTTGATTTTGATATATAATTTTTTTCATCTGTAGACTCTGCTCAAAGTAGTAAATTGCCTGATCATAGTTCTCCTTAGAATAATAAGCTATACCAAGACTAAATAAGGAATGAGCAACATCTTTATTATGTTCATTTTGATAGACTAGTTTATAAATCTTCAGGCTCTCCTCACAGTATTTAACTGCTTGATCATATTGTTCTGTACTTACATAAAGTAACCCAAGATTATTGATAGAATAAGCAACACTAGAGTGAGGTTTGTCCTGGTAGATAAGCTTATTCATTGCTAGACTCTGTTCATAGCAGTTAATTGCTTGATCATATTGTCCTTTTTGGCAGTAAATTAAGGCAAGATTATTAAAACAATCAACAACATCAGGATGAGGACGGTTTTGATTAATTGTTTTGTTTAAATTTAGATTTTGCATAGAGTAGTTGATCGCTTGATCATAATCACCTGCATCAGCATAAATCGATCCAAGAAACATTAAAGAACTAATGTAACTTAAATGATGTTCTTCTTTATAAATGAATTTTTTTATTTTTAGACTCTCCTCGCAATACTTAATTGCTAAATCATACTTTCCAACAAATTTATGCAACATTCCTAGATTTTGTAAAGTATCAGCAATGCTCAAGTTTGGGTTAGATTTATCTTGAGGAACCAATTTTTCCATTGTTAGCTTTCCTCATAGTATTTTATTGCCTGTTCATGTTTGGTTTTATTTTTGTACAAATTTCCAAGAGAATTTAAAATAATAACAACACTAGTGTGAGGTTCATCTTGATAAATTAATTTGTATACTTTAAGACTCTCCTCATAACACTCAATCGCCTTGTCATATTGCCCTTTAGCTTCATATGCAAATCCTATATTTTTGAAAGATAAAGCAATATTTATGTGAGGTTCATCAGGGTAAATGTGTTTGTAAATTTGTATGCATTCATTATAATACTCAACAGCTTCATCATGCTGCAACTTTACCGCAGAAGCTATCCCTAAATTAAAAAGAGTATCAGCAACAATTGGGTGGAATTCATCTTTGTAAACAAACTTATAGATCTTTATACTTTTTTTGTAATACTTGATGGCCCAATCATATTCTCCTTTGGCTCGATAAGTTTGTGCTAAATTGTTTAAACAATCAGCAACACGAGGGTGTGGTTCATATTTGTAAAAAAGCTTGTAAATCTTCAAACTTTTTTTAAAAGATTTAATTGCTTTATCGTAAAATTGTTTGTGGTTATATACTAACCCTAGATTATTTAAAGAAGCAGCAAAACTTGAATGAGTTTTGTTTTTATAAACTAATCTTATAACTTTTAAACTTTCTTTAAATTTTTCTATTGCTTGATTGTATTGACCAATATTTCTATAAGCTTCTCCTAAATTATTTAAGCAAGAAGAAACGTTTGGGTTAGGTTCATCTTGGTATATAAATTTGTAAATCTTTAGACTATTGTTGTAACATTCGATTGCCTCGCCATAAAGTTCTTTAGAATAATATGCTATTCCTAAGTTGTTTAAAAACTCTCCGCTAAATAAACTCTTATGAGGGTCATCGCAAGAAACCATTTTTATGGTTTTAGAACAATACTCAAAAATTTTAATAGCCTGATCGTATTTACCAACACTAAGATATAAACTTCCTAAGGTTTGCAATATTTGCCAATTTTCTTTATTATTTGAATCATCTAACGCTTTCTTTAAATTGCTTTCAGCATTCTTATATTGTGCTAATCTAAAATAAATAAAACCTTTTATAGCACAATCATCTTTGTAGAAATTATTGTCCTTAAAAAAAGATTGTTTGCATGTTTCGTCTAATGTCTTATATTGATTGCAAAAATCTTTTATAATTTCATGAAAGGGCAACGCTGTGTAAAAATAATGAAACAAGTCGCCTTGTTCTTCTAAATCTCCTTTAGCTAAATAAAAATTTTGTTTAAATCTCTCTTTAAGTTCAGATTCAGTTTTAGCTGGTCTGACAAATATTGACATATCGTCTTTCTGTGCTTTGTGATGAGAATAAGTTTTTAATCTGATGGAAGTAGCAAAAGATATAGTATATTTTAGATTAAGTGTTGCCTGTGAATTAATAACTTTTTTAGCCTCTAGTTTATCTAAAATATCCCATGCACTATCTCCTTCAATACCATAATACAAACCAAGATTATGTATCATGCGATCAGGTAACCGATAGATTTCTTGCTTTACGTCAAATAATTGACCTTCCGTGTCAAAAAATTCAGGTTGAAATTTATGTATATCACCTTTAAAGTAAGTTTCTTTTGGTTTTAGATGTGATGTTGTATGAAGATAGTCTAGCTCTAATATACCTTCGTTGAGTATTTTAATGGCTCTTAACTCACAGTTTAATCTGGTTTGTTCGGTATCATGGCTATGCAAAAACTCTGTAACTTTTTTTTTATAAGTTTCTACGAGTTTATTATCTCCGTAAACATAACACACATTTTGCAATATGTATGGCAAGTTTTTGTCAATATGACTTGCCCAATTTTCTTTATTATATACATAACTCAGCATCATATCAATTGGTTGTATTAAATGATAAATTTTATCGCCCTCTATTCTTCCGAGTGGTGTTTTCCCTCCTAAATCTAAATTAACTGCTACATTTACAAGATGACTCAGATCTAAACCATATTTACTTGTAGGAATAATGCTTTCTCCTAAATTGATAATTTTAAAGTTTACTAAGTAGCTTAGGTTCTTAAAATACTTTTTTATTTTGGGATCATCACTTTGCTTATAGTCATCATTCTCTGTCAAAATAGCGAATTCAAAATCTGAATATGGTGTCATTTGCTTAAGTGCCATTGAACCAAGTCCTATTACTGCATATTTACAAGGTCTTTTTACAGCCATTTGGTCTTCACTATCGTAATACAATTTTTTTAAAAACCTTTTCATCGCATCAGCTAAGTTTTCAAAGCATGCTCTAACAACATCTACATAGAACTTTTGATATTTTAGTTTTTCTTCAAGATTATCCATATTAACCTGTTCACGTTTAGTGTTTAACTCTTTTATTACTTGAGAAGTTTTGTCTCGCAATGTTAACAATAGATTTTTATTATTCTCTGTTTCCTCTTGTATGCTTAGCATTTTTTGTTGGTCGCCACCAATTGCTAAAAATAATAGCTTTTGAATATGAGCCAACTGTTGATATGGACTTATATGCTGTTCTTTTATAAATTTGTTTTTATCTTCAATTCTTATTAACTTTTCATTTAGCTTTTGATCTAGTATCGCAATAACATATTGATAAAATACTGCAGCCTCGGTATAATATTTAACCTCGCCGCTAAAATCTCCTAAAAAAGAAGTTAAATGCCCGAGATCATTCATGATTATTGTCAAGTCCTTTAGCTCTTCTGCAGACTTCTTATAAGCAAGTTCATGTATCAAACATTTATACTGTTCTTTTTCTATTTGTTTTAAACGATCAATTTTAAATAAATTGTTTTCATTTGAATTTACTACTTGGTCAACTTTTTCTTTGATTTTTGCTGCTGCAACTTTTGAAACATATGTTTTTTTGCAAATCGATTTTTCTATTAAAACATTTGCCATTTTCAAAAACAATAAATTGAAAAGTGTTATAAATGCTCTAGAAATACGCTCTGTAATGCATGTAACAGTTTAAATACAAGTAGAACGTTTTATTGATAGAAAAAATTGAAGTGTATTTTGGTTTTCATAATTTCCTTAAAAATAAACGAAAAAGCGTTTCTATTTTTTTATAGATGCAGTGAAACGATTCAATTTTAAAAAAAATTTAAAATAATTTCAAGTGTTAAAATATCTTATAATAAACAAAAAACTACTCATTTTACTCAAGAAGAAAATATTGTTAAGCCAACAAAAACACTGATAAGTCAACAATAATAACAAAATATTGCTTTGGCATAACTTTGATCTATTATGCTATATCAATTTACTCAAAAATAATTTTCTTTTATCTTACAATACTTCACGCACCTTCACAGCTTTTTTCAAGCTTCATTAATAAACGCATGACAACATTTATATATATATATATATATATATATATATATATATATATATATATATATATATATATATATATATATATATATATATATATATATATATATATATATATATATATATATATATATATATATATATATATATATATATATATATATTTATATATATATATATATATATATATATATATATATATATATATATATTTATATAATATATATATATATATATATATATATATTTATATATATATATATATATATATATATATATATATATATATATATATATATATATATATATATATATATATATATATATATATATATATATATATAAATTTATATATAAATGATGTCATGCGTTTATTTATGAATATTATTTATTATTTATATTATGAATATTATTATATTATTTATGAATATATATATATATATATATATATATATATATATATATATATATATATATATATATATATATATATATATATATATATATATATATATATATATATATACATATATATATATATATATATATATATATATATATATATATATATATATATATATATATTATATAAATATATATATATATATATATATATATATATATTTATATTATTTATGTATATATATATATATATATATATATATATATATATATTTATATATATATATATATATATATATATATATATATATATATATATATATATTATATTATTTATGAATATATATATATATATATATTTTAATATATATATATATATATTTTAATATTTATATACATATATATATATATATAAATGTTGTCATGCGTTTAATTATGAATATTTATATACATATATACATATATATATATATATATATATATATATATATATATATATATATATATATATATATATATATATATATATATATATATATATATATATATATATATATGTATATATGTATATATATAAAAGTCATTTTTAGGCTCTGGCCCATAAAAAGGCCTCCAAAAACAAAAAAGAGCCCTAGGCTATTTTTGTTTTTGGAGGCATTTTTATGGGCCAGAGCCTAAAAATGACTTTTATATGTATATACAACTAAAAATCCGGACAAACTTTTTAGCTTCAATTTGAGTCTAACAATTTTTATAATTTTATAATTCTATCTATTATGTTGCAAATTTATTCTCTACAATAAACTTTTTTTTTCTATTCAAGAAGAAAATATTAAAAAAAAACCCGAATGGTCAAAGAATGAATTTGTCAAACACATCACAATCTTTTTTTCGTGAAAGATTAAGTCAGTGTAAGATTAATTCTCCTCAGTAAAAGGCTGCTTAATACCGATGGACCATTACATGTGTCTTGTAACACCGGTGATGATTTATCTCCACTTTGTAAGAAAAAGAAATGTAACTGAAAACGTTCAAATAAATCTCTGCAAAAAATATACATACATATGAAGGAAAATGAATGTGGAAAAGACAAGTCCAGTTACAAATGAATCGCTTACTTGAAAAAGGGGACATGTTATGTGAATTTTTGCAGGACATGTCCCTTTTTTAAATTAGCGATTCAATAAACTTAGTTTTAACATGAGACTGTTTGCTTAAATTGAACAGCAAACCCTTACAAGGCAAAACAGACAACCTTTACAACGCAAAACATTACCCTAACAGAATTTGCTATATTTTTCTAATAATTTTTCAATAGCAGTGTATACAGTTAAACTACTATTTTTGAAAGTATGTATAAATTTTGTGAAAAAGCGCAATCATTTGGTATCAAACGATAAAATTGTTTTTTTCATAACTTACCATCTATAGATTTTTAAGTGTCAAATATGGTAATTAATTGTTAAAAAAAAATTCAAAAATTTTTTATAATATAACAATTTTTAAAATTTTTTTTTTTAACTTTTTTTATACAAATACCGAATACCAAGTTGTGACAAAAAAAAAGCGCATAAAAAAGAATTACATTAAATTACATTAAATTACAATTAAAATTACACTAAATTACAATTAAAAAAGAAATTAGCCAAATAAACTAGTTATAAATGCTGATCCTCACCGAAAAAGAGGAATCTTTTCAATATTCAGTTGAATACTGAATAGTAAAAAAGTAGCCGAATGCAAACTCTTATTCGTCACTAAAAACATGTCTGTAGTCAATTTTTATTTTAGTTAAACACTGAGCATACTCTAAACTTCATGTTGTTAGTGCTTATGTTAAATTAGAATGTTTTTTCAAAAATTTGCGGTGTTTGCAGTCTAAGAAAAAAAATACCCAAAAGTATATATTTTTGGGGTATTTTTTTGATCTTTATGTTTATCATCAAACTCCATCTTATAATAATTTTTACCTTTAATTTTTACTCCAGTAAATCAGTAAATGTGGAATCATCAATTTTTTACCACGTTGCATAGAAGTATATTTGCACAATTTAGAAAAGGTTTTGAAAAACTATGAGTTAAATATTTAGCGTTTTATTTTAGTTTTTTGATCTACGCTTCCTTGCAATGCCATGTGGAAGATAAAGGTTAGTGCGTTGATTTTCTTATCCAGAACTGAATGTATCAAATCACACTAAATTAATGTGTGACCGATAACCAGAAACATTTTGGTAAAATCAAAATAACTTTTAAATTCGCTATAAATTAATGGCGTTTCTTTGGGAGCCATATCATAAGTGTAGTTGATGCGACAAGAAGCAAAGTTAGATTACTACACCTTAGTTTAGTTACTACACCTTTTCTTAGTTTTTTTAATTTACAATTGAAGGTTGTAAATTAAAAAAACTAAGATGTAATTGAGAAATTTACAGTTGTAATTAAAAAAAGTAAGATGCAGTTAAGAAGGTGAAAGTTGTAATTAAGAAATGTTACTTGTATTTGAGAAAATAAATCTTATAATTAAGAAAAGTAATATGTAATTGAGAAGATAAAAGTTAAAATTAAGAAATGTAAAACAGCACATATACACCCATATATATACAAGCATACATACATAAATATATACATACACAGATACACACTTATACATACATTCACCGGCTCAGTTGTTACAATTAGGACCCTACAGTCCAATGTAAAACCCAATGGAAACTATCAGGTTCAGAATAAAAATAAAATTAAAAAATGTTATTTGCATTCCACTCGTATTAGGTGCTGGGATAAGGGAACAACGAATGCAGAATTTAGAAAGAATTGTTACTGCGGCAAAAAATATAATAATGGGAGGAGATTGTACACGCGCTTTACAACATACGACCACGCATTACGCAACGATTTTAAATATGAAAGATGTCCAAGTTGGTGCTTAACTGAATATTGCAATGGTTTTTAATGACGTTGTTTAAATCTAAATTTTAAATATTTTTGTAAATAAATTATTTGTGTTTTTATTTTTTATTCATCTAAAATCTCAAAATTTTTCACCAACAAAAATTAAAAAAAGTTTCAATTGACACCCAATGGAATTTTTTTCAGTAACCGCCTAAACCTCAAATGCCTTTTTTATGACTTATATTTTATACTTTATATTTTATTGGTATTATATTATTATTTCCAGTCTTAAATTGCAAAGTATGTTAAGAATATAAAAATTCAAAATACAAAGAACTTTGTATGTATATATGTATTTATAAATGTGTGTGTATCTGTGTATGCATGCATTTATGTATGTATGCTTGTATATATATATATATGGGTGTATATGTGCGGTTAGTATGTTGTGTGTATGCGCTGGTATGGGTGTGTATGTATTGGTAGTCTATGTATATTCATCAGCAGCTTACTTTCTAAAAGTCGTGCATTCTACTGAAGTCGTTACTAAAAGTACAGACGAAAACAATTATTTATAAGTATTCTCTGGAGTGTGAATAATTCTAATTTTAGCTATTTATCGCATAATAGTTTTCCGAAAAATAAACTAAATATTTTAAAGAATTATTGAAATCAAATATTATATAAAATATTAAAATGTATTATTTTCAAAAACTGGATTACGATATTTTAAATAGCCAAAATAAAAATTACCATGCTCACAATAAAAAAAAGAAAAAAATAAACTCTGTTTGGGAAAGTTATTTGATTGATTGCTACAACCAACGTAAATTTAGTGAACCTTCTAAACCAAGAAAATTCATCAGCTCTACCAGTTTAACGAAGGATTACTGATAAAACCGGTTGATATATAAAAAAACAAAAAACAAAACAAAAATAAAAAAAATAACAAGAAAATATTAAAGCTCTCCGAACAAGAAAGGTATATGTGGCCCACATGTGGTTATAGTGCTTTTGTGTGGATTAAATGTGCAAAAAATATTACAGTTGATGAATGACGTATTTGATGAAGGTTTGATGAATGTGGCTTACTTTTGGAACACATAATGCGGTTTACATAGCTATTCCACTTAATGTGGCATAATTCTTAAATAAATGCTAGTTTGATGTTGCTATCATATGGGCAAACTCACGATCTTGCCTTATTTTGAATTATAAATTTTAACCAATTGTAACTGTTTTTAGTATGTTTGAGCAATAAAAATAAAAATATATAAAAGAAAAATTTTTATTTTAATTTTGTAAAAAAAAATAATAAAAAAATAAAAAGTTTGAGCGGTTTTGTAATGAATATATTAGAGAATTGTTGTTCTAAATAAACTTTCCATAAAATTTGTAAATCAGAGTTATACTTAACGAATCCTCGCAGTCGGAAATACGTCATATTCTTTGCCGCAAACAGCTACCATTTTAGTTGGGGGAAAAAAAACTTTCGTTCTGAAACGAAAACAATGGCATAACATAAAAGTCTTTAAAATGCACAAAAGTCTTTAGGTGATTTTTGATATATATATACGTGTAAATATAAATAATATAATTTTTTATGTGTATATATATATATATATATATATATATATATATATATATATATATATATATATATATATATATATATATATATATATATATATATATATATATATGTTGGTATATAAACTTATATGTTTTTTAAGATGGTTTCTTATTTTGAGTCAACTCTGGTGACTAAGTTGGTTTGTTGTTTTAAACAAGTCAGACAACATGTGTTTTCAAAACAACAAAACTAGAGCTTAATGTCGCGTGAAAAACCTCCTGCATCTAGCCAAAGCCAAAATATTTATAAGCATCTAATGCTTCGTAATTATCTATAGCCTCAAAAGAAAATATTATAGGACTTTTTATTAAATAATTATAAACGTCATGGTATTGAACTCATGGACATTCAGCTTGATCATCTTTCCAAGTATTTGCAAAGAACTTGTATACAAATCGGTTGATTCCAAGGATTGCAAGTTTGTTTATATACCTTTCTGCAGCGTTAAAATCTAATTTTTTAAAATATTCGTAAACCGACTTTTCTTTTTTTAAACCCTTTATATCACTTTTCCGCACTAATTTCCCCGCTTTATTAACTCAACTAATCGTTTGTTTTCCCCCATCCAAGATGGCAACAACTTGCGTTATTGTTATTTTGTATAACCACGTGACTTTCCGACTGCGAGGATACAAATTTATAGTTATACTTAAACTATGTTATATTTTAAAATAGCGCAAATTTCCCCAACCGCATTTATCATTGCTTGGCTAGTTGTATATGACTTCCTTCCTTGTTTCTCTCCATTTTTATATGTTCAAACCATTCTGCTAAATAAAAGGGGCAATAAGCTCCATTATCAAAACTTTATTTAAAACATTATTAAACTATTTCTAAAAATAAATAACTTTTGTTTTCAATTTAAACTATATCTGTGTAATGTTTTTGAAATTAAAACATTGATTTTATTTATCTGATCAATTTTATTTGGTTGTTTTAATCGTCCTTTGGCATTTGGGGGCATTAAGTCCCTGATAATTAAAACAATAACTTTTATAAACTAATTAAACTAATTAATAATTAAAAGAATCAAATTTCTCTTAGAAATGCTTTCTATTCAAAATATTTAATGGAAATTTAGTAATAAAGTGAATTTTAGAGCTATTTATAAACAATTTCTTAGACATTCATCTAACTGCCATTTTACTTTGCTAAAATTTTCCTTAATTTGCTTTAGAAATATTATTATTTTAACTCATTGACTACATACACAGATAGTTATAAAGTTAAAAACAGTACTTACTAAGTTTATATTTACTTGTATTTTTAGTCAAAACAAACGTGCGTTTATATGTACTTGTATTTTAAGTCAAAACAAATACGCGCTAATTTAACGAAAGTTTTTCAACAAGTTTGAAGGAAACGGAAAACTAGATGGAAAAATCACTCTTCTATAAATTCTAATTATATATCAATGCCATTGCTTAGAAGAATAAATATTGTTGAGAAAGGTTCCCTGATTTGTAAGTTAGTATCTATGATGTAATATTTAATGTCCCTCTCTCTTAATACAATAACGTTAGGCATTTTATTTTATCAACGGAGTAAATGGAGCTTAATGCCCCATGGGGCTTAATGCCCCGCTTTACCCTATTTATCTAAAGCCAAACTAGTTGCAACATTAACAAAATAGAATCAAGAATTGCAACTTTCATATTTTGCATATTATAGTTTTATGGTTTAATTATGGTACATAAAGTTAGTTTTTTGATGATTACAAGTTTAATTAAGTTCCGTTCTTAAATAAATTGAATGATCTTTAAAAAGTTTAAAATTATTGTTACGCTATTAAGATTTTATAAACCCACAGGTGAAAATGTTTTTAAAACATCAACCTTTAATTATGATTCATTATTAATTGATTACAAATTTGCAATAATCTATTGCAATTCGGTTATGACTAAATTATTTTATTTGTTATGATTACGTTTTTGTAAATTATTAATAAGTTTTGTTAAATGTAATGTTTTATGGAATATTTAAAAATGTTTTCTCCCTCTTTAAGTGGGTTAACATATTTTATTTTATCTTTATGTTTTATGTCTATTTTATATTCAATATTTATTATGATTTTCAAAAATTCAAGTCATGTCCGATGGCGATGGGTACAAGAGAAAGCGCGAGTCTGGCTATATTAAACAGCAGAAAAAGCAAAGGAAAGAGGATGCATTAAAAAAAATGAAAGGTTCTTTGCTAAAATATGTTAATAAAGTAGATGCTACTTTTGGCAATGACACTTCAATAAACTCTTTCGTTTCTTCAACAAGTCCAGGAATAGTAATACCAGAGCCAGAACCAATGCTGACTGACACTGTGGAACAATGCGGTTGTGCAATGAGTTTTATTTGTGAACCAGTTATTCAAGCAGATGCGGAACCAACAGTAGCTGATTTAGGATTAGGAATAAGGAGTAGTAAGGAATCTATTTCAAATGATCCTGCTAAATGGGAAATAAATGCTGATCTCATAACTTATTATGCAGAGAATATCCCATCACAGAATTTGAAATCTGATTTAAGCTGAAAAGGTAGACAATTTGGTGAAAAGATTAGATATGTATGCAAGGAATATTTTATAAGAAAACTAGTAAATCGAGAAATTGTCAACAGGGATTGGCTCATATATTCGCCCTCAACTGGTAAAGTGTTTTGTTATACTTGTAAGATATTTAGTTGCAAAAGCGGCAGTGCTGGTACTAATAATGCACTAAAGAATCAATTTATAACTGGTTTCGATGATTGGAAAAATTTTATCGCTAGGATAACCTCACGTGAAAAAATAAAAAGATCATTTTGCTGCTGTGTCGATCATAATGCAATACAAAAAGTCTACTCGAATTGATGTTGAACTTCAGAAGGAAAATGAGAAGTCTTGCAAATACTGGACTGAAGTCTTGAAAAGGGTTGTTGTAGTGATAAAGTTTCTTGCTGAAAGAGGATTAGCTTTTCGTGGTGATAATCAATTGCATAACTCTCCTAACAATGGAAATTATCTTGGTTGTATTTATCTGTTAGCTGAATTTGATCCATTTCTAAAAGAACACATTCAAAGATATGGAAATCCAGGAAAGGGAAATGTATCATATCTTTCAGCAAACATATGCAATGAATTCATTAATATATTAGTAGACAAAGTTTTGAAGCAAATAATTCGTGAAAGGATGCTAAATATTATGGAATTAGCATCGATTCAACCCCTGATATTAGTCATGTAGGTCAGCTCACACTTGTTATTCGCTATGCACTCAAAACGAAAATGTAGTAGAGCGATTTCTTCAATTTATTCCAATTGAACACCATGATGGAAAATACATATTTAATCTTGTGGTTGGTATTCTTCAGCTTCATGGAATAGACATCAAAAATTGCCGATCACAATCTTATGATAATGCCAGCAATATGAGTGGAATATATTCTGGTGTGCAAGCTAGATTCAGAGAGATTAATCATTTAGCAGAATGGGTTCCATATGCTGCCACAGCCTAAACTTAGTTTTTCAGCTGCCGTAAATTGTTGTTCAACAGCTGTAAATTATTTTGGTGTCATACAGTCAGTTTATAATTTTTTCTCAGCTTCAACGAAGAGATGGTCAACTCTTAAAGAACTTCTTAAAGAAAACGTATTTGTTTTACAAAGCTTATCAGAAACTAGGTGGTCCTCTAGAAGTGATGCCACAAGAGCTTTCTATGCAAATTACTTACAAATTCGTCAAGTATTATGTGAAGTCACTAGCAGCAAACACCAACCACCACCAGCTGCTCATGAAGCGAAATCACTGGTTAAACATTTAGACTACTTGATCACACACATTAACTGCGCTAATGTGTGTGATTTGGAAAGATTTACTTCAAAAGAATAATATTGTCAATAAATTTACTTCAAAAGAATAATATTGTCAATAAAGCCTTACATGAGCCGGGTATTGAGCTGTCCATCATCATTAAATTATGCGATAAACAGTATTTTCATGACACACGCATTAAGTTTGAAACATTCGAAGGCCAGGCAAAAGATCTCACAGAATCCGATTACAAAGAAGCTACACAACGCAAGCCAATACGGAAGCGATTTGATGACGAAGTTATGGATACAAGTAATCCCAGCTTAAATGTTAGTGCCAGTGATAATTTCCGTATTCAACAGTATTACGTTATCATAGACAGACTTAATAGTGAGATGGAAAAACTCAGAGCAGCTTATAAAGTGTTGTACGAAAGGTTTAACTTTCTTCTTGACAACAGATCTTTGTCGAGTGAGGAAGTAGTGGCTAAAACCAAGGCACTAATTCAGTTGTATCCATCAGACCTCGAAGACGAATTTACCGATGAGTTTTTCCTGTTTCTCAAATTTTTAGTGATGGTAAATTGGTGTCTGATAAGATTAAGCTGCAAATAGACAATAAACTAGTTGCAAGTTTTCCAAATGTTAATATCGCTTTTAGGATTTATCTCTCTATATTAGGCACGAATTCAGAATGTGAACGTTCTTTTTTAAAATTAAAACTAATAAAAAAACTATCTGCGTTCAACTATGGGACAAGCCCGTCTATCCTCCCTGGCACTGCTATCAATTGAAAATGAAGTAATGCGGGAGATGACATTTGAAGATGTTATAGTTGATTTTGCAAATACCAAAAGTTGAAAAGTTAATGTCATCGAATTATACTGTTTGATTATAAACATTTTTATCAATTATGAATTTTATGCTGCATCTGTATGATTGTTTTATTAATGAAATGAAAAACACTTTAAAATTTTTTTTTTTTTCATTACTTTTGTAAGCCCCTGTTGATTCCTTGTAGATGCCTAATGGACAAGATGGCCCTGTATATATATATATATATATATATATATATATATATATATATATATATATATATATATATATATATACATATTGCATACAATATTTGGCTTAAGCCAATTATGTGTATAGTAACGTATTGCATCTTCTAATATCGTGTGCAATCCTGTCCGCTATCTCTATACTATCTTTCTAACTCGACTTCTTCTGTCTTTTTCTCTAACATATCTTCGTTCTTCCCAAATTCACTTCCGCTTTTTAGGGAGCCGAACTTGTCTTTGCGGGCCTTGGTAATGTGGCCTCTGTATGGCAACTAACCGGAAGATGTTAAACCACAATACCTATTGCGATTTGGTTTATTTGTATATTTAGTATATTTGCTTTTTTTATTCTCCTTATGATAATTTTGTATTTTATAGTGTTTTTTTGGTTACGTATAGGGCAAGTTGAAAGGATATAATAATTCGATAGATAAAAGAGTGAAGGAATAATGTGACGTCTTCATGCAAGTGTGACGCGAGCTCTTATTTAGTTTATTTTTAGTGGAATAAACATTAAAGCCACAAATGAAACGCACTAACGCCATCCCATAAAGGAGAGTGGTAAATATATGGCTAACATGTGCTTCCCACACGTGGGCCACATAAACTTTCAGGCACAAATGAAGCGTGGCGTTCGTTTTTATTTAGTGTGGTTTTAGTAGGATAAAAATTATAGCCACATTTGGGACGCATCAATGTCATCCCATAAAAGACAGTGGTAAACATATGGTTAGCTAACAAATGCCACATATATCCAACATTAAAATTTCTTGTCGGGCTATATCAAATCAGCAAAATCATTTCAGTCAACTTGATCGGTTTCTCGGTGACAAGACATCACGGTCTTTATTTGTTATTAATTTAAGTTAATGTAAGATAACTTTTTAGTTTACTTATATTTGTATAAAGATTGTAATTAAGAAAAAAATGTAACCCACTGTTTAAACAAAGCCAACATTCACTCGTTACAAGAATCTGCTTTAAATGATCCTCTGCGAGTTTCCATTATGACGACATTTGTTGTTAGTAGAAATGCAATCAAATGTATGTTTGCACCTTTTGAAGAAGGTATTTTCATTATTTCATTATTTAACGTCCTTGCGTTTTTCTACAAAAAAGGTTAAAATTTGTTTCATCCAACAAAACTGAAAATCTGATGACTATTTGTGATGTGTTCGTTGATGTTCCTAACATATTCAGCTCTTTTTTGTTTATTCTCATTACTATTCATTGTAATTCTTTCCGCACTTTTTAAAATGAAAATGGTCTGCCTTTGAGGTAATTGGCAGTTGTGGTTGTGCTGACGCTAATATTAAATTGTCCTAATATTCCTGTTTTAATGGCCACCAATATTAACTGACAACAATCTTTCAATTCCATTACTGTATTATTGTATTGCTGGTGCATACACGCTTAAAAATAGTGTGGAAAAAAAACACGACACTTAGTGTAGTGTCTTTTTGGCTACACAATTTGTGTACTTCAAGGCTACACTTGTGCGCTTTAAAGCCACGCTTGTAATTATGAAATTAAACTTCATTATATGCGTAAAAAAAGCCACACTTTGTTGGATTCTCGTATCGAATTATTCGGAAAGGAGGCTAGAATCATGTTTTTAGCGACATGTTTTTTTTTATGAACCATTTTCAGTTTTATTAAAAATTTTAGTGTAACTTTTATTGCTGCATGGTAATTTTAAACACATACATAGTTAACTTTTTCATAAAAAAATTTTGGTTTGTAATATTTTAGTAATATCGTATTAAATATGTTAAGCGAGGAAAATATCGATTTTCAGTTGTTAAAAATTAGGTAAGACCTTCGGTTTGTAGTACATTACTACATGAATTAGTTGTGTGACTTTATTTAATTAGACTAATGTTATTATTTTATATATATTGTATTAAAATGTTAATACAATTATTTTAGTTACGTTAACAACATTATTATGAAGTTATAAAAATTATAACATAATAACATTAATTATATAAAATAACATTAGTCTAAAAAAAATGTGTAAAATATAGGTTTAAATAAAATCACATGACATTACCAGTTAACTGGTAATCTGTTAACATAATACAAGTAATTTGTTAACATAAATGTAAATAATGTTGTTAAATAATATTGTTAACGTTAAACGTTAATGTTAATGTTGTTAAAGTTAATTTTTTTATGTTATAACAAAATGGAAAATATTTAATACATAAATATTATCAAATAAATATGATAATAGTGTTATTTTAGTTAAAATAGCAGCATTTTAGTTATATTAACAACAACTATTTTAGTTATCATATGTTAACAACTAGATATATATGTATACCATAAAGGTATACTTTACATTATGTACATATCTTTTTTTTTTGCAGAGATAGTTAATAAAAATCATTATTGCATGATATATCATTCAATAATGATTTTTATTAGTTAAAATTATGATTTTAAGTCATGCTGCATGTTGAAATAATGTATTAAATAATTTCATCATACCTATGAAAGCACTCTAATAAAATTATATTAATATATGCAAAAAATGCACAATTGCAACTATGATTTATAGTGCTATAATATGTATATATTGTGTATATATATAAATATATATATATATATATATATATATATATATATATATATATATATATATATATATATATATATATATATATATCATTTTTTTTTTTTTCTGATAAAAGTCATTAAAATGTTTATTTGCTATATATGTGGTACTTTTACGTAACTATTGATTTTTTTTCAAAATCATCTACAACGTCATAATAGTATTGCCGAAATTGTTTATCCAATTAGATGTTTACAGAATGGCTGTAAATGTACCTGTACAGCTTATATGTTGCTAATTAGACATGTAAAATGTTACCATAATATTGATAATGATTTCATTGATAAAAATCCTGAGCCAAAATATATAGTAATCCATTAAATGATAATCGTAACAATTTATTGCCTAATTTTTCAGAATATTCATTGCCTAGTTTCCCAGAGAATTCTACTTATCAAGTTTACACTTATCCTGAAAAAACAATAGAATATATTAATCCTTTGTTAGTTTCTTCATTGTGAACAAGCAGCAGTGTTTCTTATTACATTATACCTGAAGTAATTGTTTCTGTTAACAGTAATTTCATAATCATTAGTTTCCTATATTGCAGCGCTCAAATAGTTTTTCAAAGCTTGCCAATCAAATGTAATTATTTCACAAAAAAAGGTTTTCCTTGAATTTTTTGAAATTTCTTCAAACATTGCTGATCATTAATCGGTTGTTATTTTGAGCGATGATATTGGTAATGCTGCTTTATCAGTTTTCAATGACATTAGAGCAGATTCCACTCTATTATTGTTTAAGAGTAAGTTTTAAAGTAGTGTTATACATTGCAATGAGCCACTCAAGTTTCTTGACACATTATATAAACAAGATAAACACTTAGAAAAAAATTCTCTTTTTGTAACTTCTGAAACATGCAACATGGGCCCTCCTAGATATGAAATTAATGAGGGAATTTCAAAGATAGTTTCATTTCATTGAAGAGGTATCAAGTAATATTACATTGCATGATGGCTTTAACACTTGCAAACAAAACATTCTGTTACTAGCAAGAGATTCAATGTTCAAAAATACTTTGTCAGAAGACTAATATAATAGAGGTATATATATGTCTACTACCCTAAGTGGGGAGAATGAATAAATAAGAACTTTATAAAATAAGAAATTTTACAACATAATTGTCAATCTGCATAAGTACTAAGCTGCTGCAACTTGACTATGTGCCAATCTGCAAGTTTCTCTTTCTCATCTTATTTCATTTATTAGTTCCTTATGTAATATACCCTTTTAATCCAAAAGAATGTTTTTTTATAATCTACCTATAAAGGTTTATAAGTATATACAAGTTGTTCCCTGATTTATTTTTATTTTTATTTAGAAGATGCAACTTTGCTTGCATTTAAGGCGCTCCCTTTTCTTATGATAGCACCTCCACAGAAGGGCAAGAAGAGTCCAAGAATTTGGCTTTATTTTATAGAGAAATGGATATAAGTTTTTTCTATGCATTTTTTTTTTAAAGTTAAATTTGGTTTATAATCAAAAAGTATTACTTTTTTGAGCTTTGAATTTTCTGCATTTTTAAAATTTTCCTTAAACATTTAGGTACACCTCAGTCTTGAAAGCTCCCTTGAGTTATTGAAGAAGGAGAAAGTTTTTCTACTGATTTTATTCAAGTGTTGCAGCACTCTATTTATAATTTAAATTATAACTATAATTATAAGTCGATAATACAGCTATACGGTTGGAAGCCATACCGAGTATTGGATTTGCTTTTGAGTTGCTGATAGTCTCTTATGTATTTAATGTCAATTTTCCTCATGAACTTATTTGTGTATATGGATTTATGGGAAATTTGCTTGGAATAAACAACAAAAGAATTATCGTCAATTCCTTTTAAAGAAAGTATTGTCAAAAGTTTAAGATTAAATTAAGCAATATGTTTGTGAAACGAAAAAGTATTTTTATCACTTTCTTGTTTATTTTTGTTATATCGTCAGCCGAGAACCAAGAGACCGTATGTCTTTTTTTTGTGTTTTTAAGAAAATCAAGTTTCAAATTTTAATTTGCAAAGTCTTTCTTCCAGAAAATTCGACTGATTATTTAAATATTTCCTAAAATTTTATTGTTGTGGTATATTTATGAAACACACACTCCTGAATATTTATTGATAATGGACAAAAAAAAAACACAAAATGTTGATATACGGTTCTTCTCTGACGGCGGTATCTATTTTTCAAAGTTTTAACTCGCTTTTGCATATAAATGTTTTAAGACTTGTTTTTAATTTAATATTCACTGAATTGAGTTTGAGTTTTAACTGAGTTTATATACTTAAAAGAAATACTATAACAATGCATTGACTCGGAATTAAAATAAAATTTATATTTCAGTTTTTATTATTGTGATATCGTTCCGTTATTTCTTGTAAGCCAATATAATATACATGTGTAATTTAGTATATGACTCTAAATGACAATGTGTAATTTATTATATGATATAAATAGCATTCTTTATTTGAATTATTTAATTGCGTCCGGTTATATACATAGTACATGAAGACCTAAATGGGCGGAATAAATCACGCATAAATATACTTACAAAAAATCAAAACATTTTTAACGTCTAGAAAAACACAGATTAGTGTTTAAACTATAGTGTTACATTTAGCGCAACACTAATTTTGAGGTTTTTTTACAACAGTTTTGTCGCGCAAAAAGAGCATATATATACAACCATTGATTAAATGCAACAATTATGTCGAAAAAATTTCTACAAAAGTGTCGCATTAAAGGCCAGAAAGTGTGACTTTCAAGTCTACATTTTATGTAGCCTTACGAATGCAACACTGAGTGTGGCTTTTAAAGCGACATAGTGTTGGTGTAGCCGG